ATTTCAGCGCGGGGGGGGGGGGAGGGGGGTGTGCCGCGCCCAATTCTTGCCATGCACTCTTGCGGGCTGGACGACAAGAACAGCGAAGTGGGCAGGGAATATCAGCATGGCATTGTTTCTGACAAGTAAGGTCGCCCCTCCCGCATTGGGGTTGCCCCAGAAGTCCGCGCGCGATGTGCGCCGCGCCCCATTCCCGCCACGCATTTCGCATCGTCGACGACAAGACAGGCCATGATGAAAGGAAAAACGGCAACTCTGTTTTTCTTACATTCAGGATGGGAGGGCCCGCGGCCCGCATGGACGTCCGCGCGCGATGTGCGCCGCGTCCCGTTCCTGCCACATATTTTGCACCGTTGGCGACAAGGCAGGCCATGCTGAGAGGAAACAACGGAGACTTTGTATTGTTTATTTGCAGTCAGGATGGGCGGCCCGGATTGACGGCCGCGCGCGATGTGCGCCGCGTCCCATATGTGCGCCGCGTCCCATTGCTGCCACATATTTCGCACCGTCGGCGACAAGGCTGGCCATGCCGAGAGGGGAAAAAAGACTTTGTAATGATTTTTTACAATCATGATGGGCGGGCCCAGATTGATTGCCGCGCGCGATGCGCGCCGCGTCCCATTCCTGCCACGCTTTTCGACCCGTCGGCGGCAAAAAGGACGATGTTGACAAGAAAAACGGCCACTTTGGATTTATTTGTTACAGTCCGGATGGGAGGTCCCGGATTGGGCTGCTATCGGCCGGAATACGGGGTAGGTGGGGGTATATACTAATAAGGAACAGGGTGTGTGGGTGTCTGGTTGTCTGGGTGTCTGGGTACGTGCGTGCGTACGTGTGTGCGTGTGCGTGCGTGCGTGCGTGTGTGCGTGTGTGCGTGTGTGTGTGTTTTGTGTGTTTTGTGTGTGTGTGTGTGTGGTGTGTGTGTGTGTGTGGTGTGTGTGGTGTGTGTGGTGTGTGTATGTTGTGTGTTGTGTGTGTTGTGTGTGATTGTGTGTGTGTGTGTGTTCTGTGTGCGCTTGTGTGTGTTTGTGTGTGTGGTTGTGTATGTTGTGTGTTGTGTGTGGTGTTGTGTGTGATGTGTGGTGTGTGGTGTGTGGTGTGTGGTGTGTGGTGTGTGGTGTGGTGTGTGGTGTGGTGTGTGGTGCAGGGTGTGTTGTGTACTGTGTGTTGTGTGTTGTGTGCTGTGTGCTGTGTGTTGTGTGTTGTGTGTTGTGTGTTGTGTGTTGTGCGTTGTGTGGTATGTGATGTGTGTTATGTGCTGTGTGTTGTGTGTTATGTGTTGTGTGCTTTGTGATGTGTGCTCTGTGCTCTGTGTTGTGTGTTGTGTGTTGTGTCTTGGTGTGTGGTGTGTTGGTGTGTGGTGCGTGCTGTGTGGTGTGTGGTGTGTGGTATGTGGTGTGTGGGTGTGTGTGTGTTGTGTTTTGTGTTTTGTGTGTGTGTGTGTTGTGTGATGTTGTGTGGTGTTGTGTGGTGTTTGGTGTTGTGTGGAGTGTGTTGTGTGTTGTGTGCTGTGTGGTGTTTGTGTGTTGTGTGTATGTGTCCGTGTGTGTGCCTGTGTGTGTCTGTGTGTGATCATGGGGTCCTTATTGTACCGGGTTGGCTGCCGGCCGGGCGGGGGAGGGGGTGTATATTAATAGGGGGCATTGATGAAGGGGAGGGGGCAGAGGGGGAGGGGGAGGTGGAAGGGGAGGGGGCGGAGAGGGACGGGGAGGGAGAGGAGGAGGAGGAGGAGGGTGAAGGGGAGGGGGAGGAGGGGGTGAGGAAGGGCGAGACCAAACGAGGAAGGACAGCAAAAGGAGGTAGATGAGACCAGCCGTGGTGGTATGCTTTGTTATTAGATTCGCTCTATGCGAGCCCCTAGATAAATCTAGAGTCGTTTCGCATGCGATCTCGAAGTGGCCGCAAATCACAGCACAGGCTATTTAGGCGAGCGCAGCCTCACTGCCTACCTTTCTGGCTGATTGTTTCTGGGACTGGCCAAATCCCCGCTCAGCTGCGCTCCCCTGTTTGTCTCGAATCCTCAAGCAACTCGAACTGCTTGTTTTGGGATTGCGGAAAGACCTGCGCAACCAAGTGATGCCAACCCAGGGAGGGGTCAATGATGGATCAGGCTCGAATCAGAATCCCCTCGAGTTCCGCAGATTGTGACGGCCTTACGGCCAGTGCCGCCGGCTATTGGGGTCTTCAGAGCTCTGTTGGGAGTCGGGGGGCCTCCTGAGGGCTTCTTGATTCTGCCTGGGGGGCCTCTTGGGGGTCTCTAAGGGCCTCTTGGGGGGCATCTTGGGACCTCTTGGGGCCTCCTGGGAGGCTCTGTTGCCGAAGGTTCCAAACGTCCATTCGAGTCCCTTGTGTGGGCACGCTCTGGGAGCCATCTTGGGTGTCTCTTGGGCCGTCTTTCACCACCCACCAAACCACCCCAACCCAACCCGAAGGCCCAAATTTATCCTCGATTTCCAGTGGGGGGGGGTCGGGGAACGTTGAGAAAACACATGGTATCCGTACCCCCCCCCAACCCGAAATTCGGGTCAAATTCGGGTCTTCGGGTTGGGTTGGGGTGGTCTGGTAGGTAGTCAGTCTTGGATGCCTCTTTGGCTTCGTGGGGGCCCTCTTGTGCCGATTCAGAGCCCCCTGGGAGACTTCTGGGCGATTGTGGAGGCGTTTGGGGCCATCATGGAGCGTCGGGAAGCGGAGGAGGCGAGAAGAATTAGGAGAACCCACAATTTGTTGCACCTGTTGGGGCCCTTCTCGGAGTGCTCTTGAAGGCCTCGTGGAGCGTCTGGGAGGTGTCTTGGATCATCCGGAGGCCACCTGTGGCATCTTGGACAGATAAGTCGGCAATTCGCGGCGCTTTTGGACCGTCTTGGAGGCCTCTAAGTGCACTTTCGGCCCGTCTTGGGGGTTTTGGGTCCCGAGACCCTCCGGGGGGGATGGTATTCTGACCCGGACCCCCCCTCTCGGATAGGCACAGAACTACACTTTGGGGGAGTGGATTAGCTTTTTGCGCGGATCCCCAAATTCCAGAGGGGGCCGATCGCGACTGTCGGATTTGCCGGGGCTTCGACGTCGCTTGCCAATGTCAGTGTGGATCAAAACTTGCGCTTCACGAGTGGATTGGAGGATGAGCGCAAGGTGAGTCTTTCAGCTGCGGGGGGGCGCCGGCGTTTGCCGCCACGCAGGGGCCAGGGGCAATGTGGAAACGTTCGGGGAAATGGAGGGCGGCAGGTCGAGGAAAAACGGGGGAGGGGGAGGGCAAAGCAGATGGCAGGAATTGGGAACATAGTGACCAGGCGAGATGTTCTGATGGGGGTAGCGACGTTGGCGGAGGCCGCAGTTGGAATTCCTTCGGATAGCCCTGGGACGTTGAGACATCTCCGCCCGGAGGCTGGCAGGGGGTTCAGCGGCCCTTGCTTTCCTGACTCTGCGGGCGGGGCGCGACGACGCACCCGACCTGTACCCCATCTCTTTCGCTAGGTGCCGGTCTGTACGTGCTCGCCCCGCGCGAGACATCCAGCACGTTCAGAACTACACCTAGCCAGGCACTAGGTGTAGTTATGTACGTGCTGGTTTCGCCGGAGACATCCTCACAAAACGGAGCACTTATGAAACTAAACCTAGCCAGCGGGGCGAGGTGCATGTCGGGTGCCGCCACTCGCGCTCCCAACATGTACCGCGCCCCGGCCGCTAAGTGCCGTTCTGTGCGTGTCCCCTCTTCGCGAAGCATCGGGTGCCCGCGCTGCCCATCGCCGAGGCCCCGCCCCCCGGGCCGCTTCCCGCCGACATCCCACATCCCCTGGCTCAGCGAGGCTAGCCGTATGCCTGGGGGCCTCGACCTCGCGCAACCCGTTTCCTTCCCCCGCCTGTGCCCCAGCAAATTCGCGATCCGATCCCCCGCCGCGCTTTCGAGTTTTTGTTCGTGCCGGATTCCCCGTCCGAGGGTGAAACGCTCGTTCGTGTTCTGACTTGTTCTGCGGCTGCCGCCAAACTTCGCCGTGAAACATGGTGATCGCTTCCACTCTTGGCACGCAGCGTCGTCGGCACGACCATCGCCTTCCATCGTAAGTCGTGGGGCGGTGTCCGTCCACCCAGACCGACCAATGCGCCAAATCCAATCATGATTGCCACCCTTGGTCCCCGCAGCAAGGTGCACTTTTGTTGTGTGTAGTTGTAGATGTGTTCGACCCTCCCAGAACCTCCCCTCGACACCCCCCCACGGGGATCCCTCCCAGGACCCCGCCCCCTGGGACCCCCCCTGGCGGAGAAGGGATCAAAGGGAAGGGGCTTCCTTTCGACCCAACTGCGACTTTGCTCAATTTCAGTTTGGCTGGCGCGCTTCAAGAGGATGAGGGCCCAGGGAAAGGGGGGTAGCGGCGATGGCGAAGACGACGAACGACGACGACGACGACGACGACGACAAGAGGAGCGGCGACGGCGACGCTGACGACGAACGGAAGAGCGTTTTCCACACGCCGACAAAGTCGGCGAATTTCCCGCAGACTGTATTGTTTTAGTTATGCAGGGTGTTACTTCTCATTGCGATCGTCTCTTAGGATGCCCTTCGATGGGAGCGCCCCATGGATCACAAGCTGTAGAATCGCACGCAGCCCGCGGGAACTTTGCATTCCGAGCGCTCCGCCTCTGAACGCCTACGTTGGATACTGCACTCTGTCCCCCCATCCCCACGTAACCACCACAAAAAAAACTGCAATAGTTTTGTCGATTATCCCTCCCCTGCGCCTCCTCCTGCTCCCCGCTCTAGGAGCTGCCACGAGGGCGCGAATCGACTCACGACTCGCGGTTCGTCGTCCTCCTCGTCCTCTTTTTTTCCCCCGGCGGGGAAGGCGGCGCAAGAGCGCGAAAACATCTTCGCTTCGCTCACCACGAACCCCCGTCGTCGGAGCGGGGCCGTCGTCGGCGCCAGCGCGCGCGGGCCCCTGCGGCCGCCGCGGCGCCGCCCGGCGGCCACGCCACGCCGCCCGGTTCTCTGGCTCCCGCGCGGCCAGGACGTCCTGGAGCTGCGTCTCCACGCCAGCTCCGCCGCCGCCGCTTGGGCGGAGGATCCCTCTCGCGCTCGGCTTCGGCCTGGGGCAGTCTCTGATTTCGTCTCGGGGCACGCGAATGGTTCCCGTTCATGTCTTCATTAGCTGATGCACGCAACTGCGTGTACACGGATACCGCTGCCTGCAGCTGCAGGAAAAGAGCAGGTTAGCCAGCGTGGACCCCAAATTGTCATATCTTGCACTGGATGTGTAAGCCATGTGGTGGAAGGATGTTGAGCAAGCCATGTGGTGTAAGCTGTGTGGTGCAAGCATGTGGTGCAAGCCATGTGATGCAGGCTATGTGGTGCAAGCTATTGCTATTTGGTGCAAGATCCGTGGTGCAAGCCATGTGGATCAAAGTATGTTGTGCAAGCAGTGCGGTGCAACCCACGTGGTGCACGCTATGTGGTGCAAACTACGTGGTTCAAGCTATCGGGGGTCCCACGAGGCGCCCACATGCGAGCACCAGGCGAACCCTCGGCACGGTTACCCCAACAGCGCAGGTTGCCCACGAGGCGCCCACGGGAGGGCGCCAGGCGAAACCTTGGCATAGCCCCCCCCGCGCGGGGCGCCCAAGAGGCGCCCACGGGCAGGCAGCGGGTGAAACCTCAGCATGCCCCCCCAGGCGCGGAGCGCCCACGAGGCGCGCACGAGCGCACCTGGGCCGGCGTCAGCCGAAACCACGGCGTACCCATCCAATCACTTGAGCAAAAAGTAAGTACGAGCGCTAGTTTGGGAGTGTGACACAAGGCCGGAGGGCTCACACATGACTCGCAAGCACACCCTAAAGCGGCTCGCTCCCATTGGAGGCGGTAACTCGCACATAACAAATACAGGTTTCGCTTGGACAGCACGGCACAAAGCAGGGACATGTCAAAAGGACCAGGTCATGTCAGGTCAAGCAAAGCCTTGCATCAGATCTCTCGTGAGCCGAGGAGAAGTGGCGATCGATCGAGTGCCTTCAGGATCCTCTCCAGCTTCTGACAACCAGCTCCCGCTCGCGTGCTGCACCGCTCTCAGAAGGATCGACCCCGAGATCCGACGTTGCGAACACAGCAAAGAAAACATGACTGGAGCTCTAGACCCCATCTAATCTGCTCGAGTTTTCGAGCCAGCTCAGTCCGTGAGGTTCCTGGGGCCCGAGGTATGGTAAAACCGCCCGTTGTGAAAAAGATTGCGACGTCCGAGTATCAGGGGACGCCCGATAACGGAGCCCGGTTGCGCTCCAGACTGCCAGCCCCGCCCAGGGGGCAACGTTAGGAGGAGATTGATTCAGGCGGCATGCATCGATCCCCAATCGCCCAGTTATCGCCGATAGGGGTCCGATAGCCTGACCCCGCCACGACCGTGCGGATTTGCTGTCGGGGGCCTATCGCCGATCCACCAGCAGTGTGCCGCCGATCTCAGCTCCACGCTTCCCCCCCTGAGCCGCCCCCCCCCCCCTTGCAGACAGCCCTCACGGCAAGGATGAGCGATTTTCAAAGGTTGCTCAGTATCGTTTAACCGACCCTCATCCCCATCCCCATCCCCTTCGAGACCCCCACCTAATTACCCCCCCCAGTTGGGGATGAAGCCCGAAGGACACAACCTATATCCCCATCGAGGGGGGTAAATCTGGCAGTGGGGCCCAGGCCACGCCGCTGGGGATGGGGATCGGATAAACGATGCTCGGTTGCCCTTGCACCTTCCTTCGGCCCATCCCTGGCAACTTTCGCTGGCCAACCTCGTTCGGAAAACGTCAGCGTGGCCGTCCTCCTTCGGACAAAAACGTTTCCCCCCCGGACCTGGTCCCCCGGGCGCACAGGAAGAGCCCCGGCGGCTTCGCGAGCGGCTGGCCCGCCTCGAGAAGGGCGACCCGGCCTACTCGCCGGAGCGCGCGCTGCGCCTCGCAGCGGGGGTGGTCTTTGCAGAGAGCTCCCCCCGACCCTCGCATCCTCGCGTCGTGAAAAGAACCACGACGGAAGGTCTTTGCCAGTTTTTGGCACCTGGGGGCCCTTCCCGGGCCCTAGGACCGTCAACGAACGGCTCGGGATGGAAAGCCCCTGCTGGGGAAGGGGTCCAGACCTTTGGGGCCACGGTGTTAAAGAGCACGACTGCGGATGTGCCGGTATACCCTCGTTTCGTTTTCGCCTTTTTGGGCCTCCTGGGAGGCATTCGGCGCCACCGTTGGATTCGCTTCGAAACTCTGGTCAGAACACACCCAGGGAGAGGTCTGGTAAGTAGCCTTAGTAAGTCTTTAGTTTTGTTCCTCCTCCCCCCCTGTTTCGTTCCTCCTCCTCCTCCTCCTCCTCCTCCTCCTCTGAATCCGCGATCAATGAGTTCTTAGGGTGCGTGTCCATCTGGGAGGATTTTTTCGGCACCCAGATGGGGGGCGACAGCCTTCCCAGGTTCTAGCGACAGAGCACACACACACAAAGAAAAACAGTGTCAGGGGGAGAAGCAGGAAAATGCATCCCAGAGATCCGACGCTCCAAAAAAAATTGACCAGCTGGTTCGGGACTGTTTTCGGCCTCTGGGGGCCCTCGCCGGGCCTCGGAACCGTCGTAAACGACTCTGGACGAAAGCCTCTGGGGCCCACGCATCGAAAAATTGGAGCGGCTAGATGTTCGGGTTGGTGTCCCCCCAGTCAGGTACTTCAATGCAAGCTGCGCCTTGTGCCGCATGCTTTTCGGAACCGCCCGAGCGCGCACTCGTCTGTCTTGTATGTTGGCGTTGCAATTGGAATGGCATCGGCACATGCATAGTCATCTGGGCGCTTGCTCTAGCAGTAGCTCAGGGTGGTGCTGTCTGTTTCCTGAGTCGGTCCACCAATTCTATCCACTCGTATCCTCAGTCTTGTCGCTCATTCTCGTCCTCCTTCCTTGTCACAAGACTTCCCCTCGTAAAACAAATCATCGTTCTCGCTCGCCCCTCATTTTCGTCCCACTCGTTCCTCCCTGTTTCTCCCCATGTGCGCATTCCCTCCTCCTTGTCCTTCTCCCCCCGTCCTTTCATACCCCCTCATCCTCCCCGTTCTGGAGGCCGGAAGACTACGGGGGGAGGGGGGCACAGTTTCAAGTTACCCCATCTTTCCTCCTTCCTTGCCAACGGGGGGGGGGCTTCGGAAGTAACCCCCGATTTGAGATCCAGGCGCTGCTATTCTTTATCTCTGTCCAGTCCTGCCTTGTCTCCAGCCTTGGGACCATCACAGGTCGATCCGACTCAAAAAATGCAACGGAAAGCTAGGGTCTAGGGCACGATTTTACAATTTGTTGGTGCCGTCGGCTCTCAGGGCCCGCCACCACTTGGGAAGCCAGGGCTCCTTTCCAAACGGGGGGGAGCTTTGAAGAAGCTCTGCCCCACCCCACCATCCCCCCCTTCTCCCGGGGCCCTACTTTCCCAGTGGGGGGCTTCAGAAGTTGCCCCTCCCCGCGTGGAGCCAGGGGCATCCTTCCGGAAGGGTCAGGAAACTTCGGAAGCCCCTCGCCCCCGCGGAAGCCGCTACCACCAGTCTCCGTACGTCTCGGAGGTGGATAGACCTCCTACCTTGACACGTCGATGAAGGAATTGGCCGTTTTCGGTTCGCGAGAGGGCGTCGCGGATGTCATTTTTGCAGGTCCAGGTCCGTGTGTTTCGGTCCCAGGCCGTTTTCACTAAGGGGAGGTTAATTAAAGGGAGGTTTGTCCACCGCCGAACGTCAGATGTTGCGGCGGGCGCTTGTTCGTTGTTCCGTCTTGGCTCGTTCTCCCCCAGCCAGGCTGCTTCAACGGGCGACGTCTGCATGTCTTTCATGTCCCCCTTCGGCGGCGAGCCCGGGGGGGAAGGCGAGTTGGGGCGGGGCTTCTCAGAAAACTCAGAAGTCCCCCGACTCTCTGAGAAGTTCCCGAAGCCCTCCCCGAAGACAAGGAAAGTCTTTCAAGAGGCTGGAGGGCTTCTGAGAAGCCCCGCCGCCTTATGAGAAGGCCTTCTCCTTCTCACTTCCCCCCCTCGCTCGCCGCCAACCCCTGGCCTCGAACACAGACCTGTGCCGCCCCCTCAGCGAACGAGGTCTGCATCTTGCCCCGCAGCCCCGCCGTTGCGGATGAGCCTGAGGGGGGGTCTGGGGCTGCCGCTCGAGGGCTGAGCGGCTGGAGCGCCAGCGCAAAGAGGCGGGGATGGGGCCTCGGGCTGTGGACGTCCAGGGGGGGGGGGATCGAAGGGGTCCCCCCCGCTTTGCTCGGGTTCTTGGGTCGCGCCCCCTCCAACTGTTCGTCTGGCACACGAGCTGCTCGCGCGAGCCCTGGGCAGGAGTTGCACGACGCCCACCAGCAGCTGGCCAGGGACGTCGCCTCAATGCAGGCGCCGGTTTGGGTGGAGAGGGGAGGGGGAGGGACTGGGCTGCCTGGATCTGGTTGCGCATCTGGAAGGGAGGCGTCGGGCGTCTCCTCATCTTCATCCGTCGCCTCAGCCTCCACCTCTGGTCTCCTCCCTCCGCCCCTCCCCCATCCTCCTACCTCCTCCCGCCTCCTGCTCCTCCTGGCCCGCAGTGTCAGAGAGCGCGTCATGCCTCGTGCCCTGGCACAGCACGCGGAAGGCCTGGGGTCGAGACTCCAGGAAGTGCAGGACGGAGGTTGCGACCAGGCCCAAGGTGGGGAACACGAGGTGGCTTGCGGGGGCCCGGGGGCTCAGGAGGGGGACGAGGGGCCCCAGGGTCAGGGCCTCGGCCGCAACCCTGGGGCTCTCCTGGCTGCGTGGCTGGGTCGGGGCCCCCAGGCAGTGCTCGCGGGCGGGAGCCAGCGTTCTCGGAGTGGAGTGGGAGGCAAGAAAACAGCAGGATGATGGTGAAGAGGAGGTGGGAGGCGACTGTGACGAGGGGGTCCGCTACTGGATGTCGCTCGGCCGCCACTTCCGCCACCCGAGCGGCCCCGCCTCGATTCGCCCCCGCGCTAAGCAGCAAACAGGCAGACATGCAAGCCACATACCGGCATCTCACCTTTCTCTCAATGTCTACTCTCCTCTCACACCACCGCACGAGGGCAGCAAGCACAGGAGACGGGAGCCATGCTTACACGTGCGAGGCTCCTGCTATTCTGCACCGCCACGTCCAGAAAAGCCTGGAAGTGGAGCGCGTCAGTGTCGCACACCATCTCCACGAGCTTGCCGCCTAAGTTCACTCCGCAGCGGTCTGAGCCCGATCTATGCTGGGTGGTTGGTCCTCCGATTCGTCGCACCATGTCACGGTGCATATCACAATTCGAACTCTTGCTCCTCCTCCTCCTCCTCCTCCTCCTCCTCCTCCTCCTCCTCCTCCTCCTCCTCCGTGTCCCTCCCTTCTCCCTTGTCTCCCTCATTGCCTTACTCACCGCCTTCGTCGCCCTCGTCCTCTCCTCCTCGTCCTCCTCGTCACGCGTCCTCCTCGCGGTCCTCGCCGCCATCTCCCCTCCTCGCCTTCTGGATTCCTCAGGCGCTCAACCCCCGAGTCGACGAGCTGTCCCGCAGGACGGAGGCCCTCGGCGAGCTCGAGGCTCGGGCTCCTCGTTCCCTCCTCGTCCCGCCACCTCCTCCCCGCTCCTCCTCCCTCGCACTCCTCTCGGCGGCGAGCCCGGGGGGAAAGTGAGAGAGGGGGCGGGTCTTCTCAACAAAAGGCTCGGAAGTCCCCAGGCTCTCTGAGAAGTTCCCGAAGCCCTCCCCGCAGACAGTGAAAGCCTTTCAAGAGGCTGGAGGACTTCTGAGAAGCCCCACCGCCTTCTGCGACGGCCTCCTTCTCACTTCCCCCCCCCGCTCGCCGCCGACATGATCCCGCTTCCTTGCTTTCGGATGCAACTCCTGGGAGGTCAAATTCTGATCTTGCCCTGGTCCGAAAACCGGTTGAATCCCCCTTCATCCCGCTGGATCCGCTTCTCACTTCCCCCTCGCTCGAAGCCGATCTTCGCCATCTCCCCCCCCCACCCGCCCTCGCGTCTTTGGCCCCCCGAGGGGCTCGCGCCCCGGGTCGAGGAGCTGTGGCGCCGGGCGCAGGCCTTCGGCAGGCTCGATGCTCGGCCCTGTCCTCCCCTCCGTCCCTCCTCCCCACTCCTTCCTCCTCCCTCCTCCTCCTCGCCCTTCGTCTCCCTCCCTCCGCCTCCTCCTCCTTCTCCTCCTCCCATTCCTCCTCGCCAACCTTCCTCCTCCCTCGGCCTATCTTAGAGCCCTCGAGGCGGGTAAGAACCCGATCTCTGGGGAGTGGAGGGGCGAGCCTCGCCCTCTCCAATCTTCTGATGACGCTTGCTTGTGGCTTCGTCTTCGGTAATTCGCCTGGCTTCGTGCTTCGTGTTTTATCTCTCTCTCTCTCTCTCTCTCTCAGTGGTTTCGTGCTGCGCTCGTTCGACTCGCCCCTAATCGTCTTCGTCTGCACTTTGCCAATATCGGCGCACCTGACATGCCGTGGTGGTGCCTCCTCCTCATCCTCATCCTCCTCATCTTCCTCCGCCTCCTCCGCCTCCTCCTCCTCCTCCTCCTCCTCCTCTTCCTCCTCCTCCTCCTCCGCCTCCTCCTCCCCTTCCCTCCCTCCCTCCCTCCTTCCCCCCCTCCCATCCCCTTCCCTCCCCTGCTTTCTCCTACCTCGCCCCTTGGGTTCCTTGAGGTGGTGCGTCGGGCTCGAACCAGCGGAAGGGCAGCTGCTCCTTTATCCTCCCATCCCTCCCCACTCCCTTCTCCTCCTCGCCCTCCGTTCTCCCCACTCCCTCCCTCCTCCCTCGTCATCCCCACTCGCCCCTGTGGCTACCCCGTGGAGCATCAGAAAGCGCTCAGGTTTCTAGGCGTGCCCGCCAGCCGATCCGATCCGACCTCCGCGTCGCCCCCTTCCAGGCGCCCGCAGCCTCCTCGTCGCCCTCCTCGTCACTCTTCTCGTCGCCCTCCTCCAGGCGATCCGATCCGTCCTCATCGCTCGCGGAGTCCCCAGCCCCTGGTCGAGGAGCTGTCGCGCCAGACGCGGGCATTCGGCGAGCTCGAAGCCCGGCTCCCCGCCCCCCTCCCTCGGCCCCCGGCGCCTTTCTCGTCCTTCTATTCCCCCCATTCGCCGCGCAGTTCACGCCTCCCCGGTCCCCGCCCAGTTCGTCCTGAGAGTCCTGAGCGCCACGCAGCTCGCCCCGGCCCTCGCCCAGTTCCTCCTCCTCATCCTCCTTGTCTTCCTCTCCTCCTCCTCCTCCTCCTCCTCCTCCTCCTCCTCCTCCTCCTCCTCCTCCTCCTCCTCCCCGTTGCCATGTTGGCTCAAGTTCGAAACCTTGCCGCGAGGCTTCGATCTTGTCCGCAGCTGTGCGGCAGGCTCGAGTCGCTGGCTGCGGCCACAAGGGGATTCTGCAACCACGGCACTCCTGCAGGAGGTGTGTCTGCTTTTCTCGTTCGTCCAGTTGTGTGCGCTCCCGCCGCCGCAATGTCGTGGCGCCAGCGCGCCCCCTGGCGTGATGGCGGGCGTCGCAAGAACTCCCAGGGCCAGGGCCCGTGGGATGTCTGCGGGCATTGCGGCCTATGGGAGTGCAAGTCCTTCGGCAAGTTTTGCTGCTCGAAGTGCGGTGGGGAGTATATCACGGCGAGCGGGGCCCGCGGTTCAGGGGCTGCAGGGCGTGGGCATAGAGGCCGCGGTGCTGGTGCAGCACCCGCATGCGCCAATGACGACAATGCTGAGCTACGTGCCGCCGCCGCACTTCTATTCGCTGCGAAGCCCGAACTTCGAGACGGACTTGCTCAATTTGTTCCAGATGAAGCCCCAGTTCAGCCTGGTCTGCGGCACGCTTGCAAGATGCAGCCAGTGCTGAGCGCACCCGCCTCACCCGAGTTGTTGAAGATGCGGCGAAGGCAGTGCGCGTGGCCTCTCAAGATGTACATCATCGCAAGACGAAGGTGCAGAAGCTTGAGGAACAGCTGGTCGAGGCGAGGGAGTTCCTGGCCACGGACACAGCTGCCCACGAGAAGGCTGCACAATGCAAACGCGACGCTGACGAGGCGCTCCAGATCTTCAACGAGGAGGTTTGGATGGAGGAGAAGCGCAAGGATCAACGTCGTGCTCGTGAAATAGCTGAAGCTGCTCGAGGGCCTCCGCAGGGAGCTGAGGTACATGGAGGGGGGTGCGAGCGTCCTGGTGGTCGTGAAGAGCCTTATCCTGCTGGCGCTCGTGTGGATCCTGAGAGCATTCCCAGCCTGGGCGACATGGACGAGGCCGCCATCCGTGCCCATGCCGTGGAGAAGGGCCTCCCTCTGGAACTCCTGCTACAGTTCCAGAAGATGTCCAAGAAGCTTGCCCAGGACGTCGAGATGGATGCTGGAAGTGATGCCTGCAGCGATGCTGGCGACCTCGGTCAGCCTGAAGCTGATGAGCTACGACAGCTTCGCAGGCGAGCTTGCGAAACCGCCTTGGGCGCTGACGGCCTGGCCAGGATGGAGGCCCTCATGTCCGAGAAGTCCAAGGCTTGCCGGTCCCAGCTCATCAAGACCGCCTCCAACGCAGCGTCGGCCCGCATATTTTGTCAACCGTGTCCGCGACACGGTCTCCAGGTTGCCGACGCGGAGTTCCTGACGTCCTCGCGCAGCGCAGTTCTGAAGTGAATGAGGGCACCACCGTCCTTTTTTGCCACATTACGCAATGGAGTGCGCTTGCGCGTAGCTTCATCACTGACCCCCATCGCAAGGCCGACGCCTTCTTCTTTGCTGAACGCCGCCTGTTTCCCCCCCAGGTTGAAAGCTGCGAAACGGGAGTGCGCCGCGATGAAGTGCCCTGCGCAGGGGGGCCCTGGAAGGGGGCTCGCATGGAGGGGCGGGGGCCTGCGTTCACAAAGGTTTGTATGTTAAGCGGTTTCTCTCTCACGATGCACGCGTGGAAGAGGTGGGCGCTGGAGATGGGTGGATGTTTCTGGAGCTTCGCACTCAGCAATCTGTCGCTGGAGCCGGCGTTGCGCGCGCGGTAGCTGGGCCGGGGGTCGCCGCTGAGAGTGCGCGCAAGATGTTGGAGATTAATAATACTTCTGCGCAGACGCTGGCTACCCCCTGGTTTCTGATGGGGGACTTCAACTTTGACATTAACTGGCGCAGCTCTGCGGGTTCCCGAAGACGACGCGTGCTCGTGCCATCCCTCCAGGGGGCGTTCCTTTTCACCTGTTCGCAAGGTCAAGGCACGCCGATTGATTATGATGCTGCATCGGAGACCCCCGCGCCGTTCCTACTCGCCTCACGGTGCCCCAATTCGCCTTGCAAGACTCACGCGCGCCTGCAAGAGCCTTTGCCGCGTGAGGCTTTGCCCCGGGAGATGGCCAAGCGGCGTGAACCTCCGTCTTTTCCCGGCGCCTTGGGACCCGAGTTTCCGTGGATTCGGCGCGTTGAAATGGCGCCTCGGGATTGGGCCCCCCCCCCCCGTCAGGAATCCCGATGCGAAGTTGGTTCCCCGCGTTCAGGATCATCTCTCGGAGGCCTTATTAACTGACGCGCACTTGCTGCGGTCTCGTGCGCCGGAGGGCCTTGCTTCGGGGACTTGCGTGGGCAATGAGCATGATACTTGATACTGTGCAGTATATGGGCCGAGGGGATTTCATGGGCACGAGGGCCACTGCGTTGGGCGGTAATAGTGGGAGTTATACTTATTCCGATCCTATGCCGTGTTTTTCGTTGCATCTGCTTCAGAAGCTGCACGGTCTACGGGTTGCTCTCGCGCGCGACCGCGGTAAGATGGCTCGCGACCTTGCTCGGCGAGTCCCCTTGTCGGGGCACCGTGTGGAGAAGCATTCGCCGCGCCCCCCTGCCTCGCAGAACCCCCGGGCGCGGCGGGCTCAGCTGGCCCAGGTGGAGTCTGGAAATTCGGCGCTCAGCCCCGATCTTTGCGATTTTCCGGTCTTCGAGTGCTCGGCTGCGCTCGGTCAGGCCGGCTGCCGCTCGCGCTGAGACTGCTGAGGCGACTAATGGCTGGCAGCTTAAATCGCTTCCACGAGGGGCGAAGAGAGCTCGCCAGTGGCTTCGAAAGGGGGAAGGGGGGCCGCTGGAGTTTATATATATATATGTATATATATATATATATATATATATATATATATATTGTTTCTCCTCCGGCCCCTAGTGGGGTTCTCCAGCTGCCCGGCGAGATCATGGCCCATCGGGCCCAGCTTTTTTTTTTGTGGGGGGGCTCGGGGCCTGATCAAAACAAGGACCTTGGCGCTGCCATGAGCGAGCCTCGTCGGCGCGCTAAGGAAGCGCAGCCGGGCCCCCCCGGCATCGAATGTAGAGATGTCTCTGCCCCCGGCAAGATTTTCTCCGAGGGCGCGGCCGTGGGAGTTGACCACTGGCGGCCGCGGGACCTGATGGGGGCTCAGCCTGACGCCCTCGAAGCCCTCGTCCAACTTTACAGGTTTTGCGAGGGGGCCCGCATGTGGCCCGAACAGATTCCGCCCAGTGTTATTACCCTCCCCCCCCAAAAAAAAACATCAAAACTGATGAGCGGGTTTATACTTGAATCCGCGGGACCTCCCTGGATGTTTGGAGTAGAGATCACGCGGCGATTTGGGGCACCGCGATCAGGGTGAGCTCGGATTTGCAAGCTGCTTTGCGGCGCGAGGTGTCTCATGAGCTGGCGGCCTTTGAAGGCCGAGTTTCCGTCGGCGTTCACCGGGGCCTGCGCGAGTTTTTTGGCGCTGTCTCCCCCGTCCTGCTGACCGCTCTCGGGTGCAACCTGCAGTTCCCTCCCTTTCTCAGCATGGGTTTACTTATTCATGATTATCCCAGGGTGTTGGAGACTGGAGGGTACTGTTCTCGGGTGATTGAGTCAGCAGTTGGAGCCCTCCCATGATGCTCCCAGAGTAGGTCATGGACTAAGGCGTATTTTTTTGTTTTCAGATGCTGGCCGATATTAATCATAGGTACTTCCCTTATGTCACCACTCTGGGATATGTTGACGACGCCCCCCAGACCTCTCATGGCACCGCCGATGAAGTTGTCAGCGCTATTGTCCCAGCAGCTCTGCACCTTGCGCGCGGAGTTGATTGCCTGCGGCTGACGCTGTCGGACAAGTTGGCGATTGTCAGCATTAGGCGGGCAATCGCATTGCCCGCCAGCTTCGGGCTGTTGGCGTTCGCTTGCGCGTGCAAGACACTGTTCGTGACCTTGGAGCTGCTACCTCTGCTGGCAAACGGAGGTCTACCATGATTCTTCAGGTGAAATGCTAAGGCCAGTCGTAGGGCTAAGAAGGCGCAGTATTTGATTGGGATTTGCGAAGGCGCCTCGAAACTGCACGAGCCCGGCGCGCTGTCTATTTCGTCTCGGGGTCATTCGGTCCCGGGGCCGTCTCCGCATCAGGTTCGGCTGGCCCGAGCGCAGGCCGCCAAATCTTCGGGATGGCGGAGCCCTGGGTCCTGCACCACTACGCTGCTGCCTGCGGTCGAGGCCGAGTCCGCGGATCCCGCATATAGGCTTCGTCGGGAACAGCCTCTTGGGTTCCAGCAGTTGTGGCTCGATATGGGGCCCAAGGCTAAGATGCGCACCGCTCAGTTATGGGAGGCTCGGGCTGAAGAATACGCGCGTCTTGCGCCAGGGCGCGTTTGGCGCCGTGTCCGTGGACCGGTTGCTGCCACTGTCGCGGCTCGGTTGACCGCTGCTGGCAGCCGTGGCCAGACTCCGCCTTGCACGTTGACCCCCCCGGTTGCCCTGCCCAGTTGCGGAGGCAGCTTAAGGTTATTGCATGGGGAAGCGTGGGGAACTGTTGCCCAACATCATCTCTTGGGCGGAACTGAGGATGGCGTGGATTTCACGAGTGCACATTCCCTCTTATTTGAAGTGGGGAAGGATGTTGACTATGAGGGGCAGGGTATCTTGAGGAATTCTCCGGTGGGAGGCTTCTGGACCGAATCTCGTCTGCACGACAATGGATACGGCACGGAATCCCGGGGACTTTGTCGGCGACGTGGTCTGGAAGTTGAAACCCGTCTCCACCGTTCCTGGCAATGCCCGTGCAATGCTGATACCCCCTCCGCAGCTGTTCTTCGTGCCCAGCCTCCCTGTGCTCGAGCACTTGAAGAGGCCGATGCATGCCCGTCCTCGTGGTCTCGCGGGCCCATGCCTAAGTCTAGGTCGATCGGTCACTTGCCCCCGCCAACCGATCAAGCATGGCCCCGGGGATCTCTCGGCGAGGGTCGCGCCCCTGGAGGCGCGTTCGGGATCGACGGGCCAGGGGGGCATCACGCTGAGGACTGGAGACGAAGACGGCGCGGATGGGCATGCGCCCGCATAGGCCCCTCCCTCACCGACGTGGATGGCTTCCTCGTTGGTACCCTCCCTGGTGAGGTTCAGAGCTCCCAGAGGGCTGAGCTGCTGGCTTTGGTCATGTTGCTTCGTCATACTGAGGGGGGAGTGCTCATATTCTCTGATTACCGACCTGTTGTGCAAGGTTTTCGTAATGCACAGATATTGTTAAAGAAATCGGATATGTTAGGCCTCTGGGTGGAGATTTGGAATATCCTGGAGGAGAGGGGGGGGGGGGGGGTCGAACTTAGGTGGGCTAAGTCGCACCCGACGGCGCGAGAGGTCGCGGCGCTCGGATTGACCAGGATTGAGCGGCTTTTCAGCTCGGTGGCCGACGGACTTGCGAACGAGGCGGCAGCCCGCGGCAGTATCCCAGTCTCCCCCATCGAACGCACCCACCGAGAGGACCACCGCCATCGCGACATGTTTGAGCAGGTTGGTTGCCATCCAGCGCGAAGTGTTCATGACTTGGGCCCGTGAGCGCACGCGCGCTGGGCACGGGCGCGCGCGGGTTCGCGGGCCCGGGGCTAGCACGCGCGCGCGCGCGTGGAGCGGCTGCGCGAGCAACGTTTCAGCCCCGCGGTCCTCCTAACTTCGATCAAGCGCAGCATTTGTTCCGTGAAGTTTTTTTTTTGTTTTGAAAGGCTTCCTTTCCTGTTTCAGGCCAGGGCCGCGCCTCGGGCCCAAGCGCGTGCGCTTGGCCGACCCTGCAGGTGATGGGGGGGCGCAGCTGGGGGAAGGGACGAGGATGCCCCCTCGCCCCGCCATCTCGCCTCCATCTCCCACCCCTCGCATGCCCCTCGTTAGCTGAATAGAGCGCGGCTCTGCAAGGAGCGCGGGGGCTTCGGAGCGGTGGGCGCCCGAGACTTGAAGGGGAAATGTCCTCCCACACGGGCCCCACTGCTAAAGGTAGTGAGGCCCTTGGGAGGCCCCGCCGCGGGCGCCCCCCAAAGTCAGGAATGGTTTTCCCACGGGACTAAATCCCCTGTTGCACGGCCGCGGGATGTCTCGCGGTGACCGTTGCTCAGGGGTCGCGCCCCTGCCAGTGGCGTGGTTTGGGCTCACGCGGCAGGTTCGATCCGGGGTTGGCGGTGCCCTGCCCTGGAACTCGAGCCTTGGGGTTCCGTCGCGCAGGCGTTGCTGGCCGCCCTGCCCATTGCCTCGTGCTGCTCATGCCTCCTGGTGCGCGGCCGGGGGGGGGGGGCGCCGCCTCCCTGACCGTGGCCCTCTGGCGTGCTGGATTTGCTATGGCCTTGGCGTGAGTGGACTCGCGTGGCAGGTTCGATCTGGGGTGTTGCTGCGTTCTGCTCGGCGGTGCTGGTTACGCA